ATTACAGTATTGACTGTAGTCAGGTTTTTTATGTGAGTTCCAGGGATCAAAGTCAGTTTGTTAAGCTTTTATTGCACTGCCTTTACCCACTGAGTTATTTGACCATCCCTAAAAAATTTTAATTTATTTTTGTTTATTTGTTTGTTTATTTTTGTTGTTTTTGGTCTTTTTGAGACAGTGTCTCCTTGTAACCCAAGCTGACACAGAACTCGCTATGTAGACCAGGCTGATGTCAGACTCATAGAGATCCACCTGCCTCTACTTCCTAAATGCTGGGATTAAAACTGTGCACCACCAAGCCCAGCCTAAATTTAAGAGTCTTCAGATATAAGTATCTCTTTTTAAAAAATGTTTATCGAGCTTTTGTAATTTCTTAATCAAATTTAGATCTTCACCTCCATGCATGCCTCTTGATCCCCCAACAGATTTCATGTATTCCACGCATTAATTTGAGTGGGGGTCAAGAGAGGGGAATGGTGGGAGCGAGTGTTATTGGGGGTGGGGGTGGATATGGGGGCACTAGGACTGGGGAAAGATGAAGGAGGCCAGATGGGCATGAAAAGTGTAGAAATGAATGAATGGGTGGGACTAGGAATCTCAGAGGGAAATGTGATGGTCCTTTAACCCATGAGAAATGCCCATACAGTATCTAAACATTAGTGCGTATGTATAGCTTGGAATGGCTGGACAAGGGACACAGTGCCAGACAGAAAACCTCCCATTAAATGGTTTGTGAGAATGCTTCAAGAGACTCCCAAAATAACACAGGCTATTGCAAAATCTCTTGTTTATCTCCCAGAATTAGTAGTTAAGTCACTACTGCTGAAGACAGAACATAGTTTGGATCCAGGGCTTGGAGCAATGGAACAAGAACTGACCTGGACATCTTCCAACCCAAATTTAGCTATCATAATGCTAGATGGTAATATGTAAACCACCCAGAGAGAAAAACATCAATGGTCCAACGTAGCCCAAAACCCTAATGACCATAATGATGGCACAGCAGGCTCTCTCTATTGGTGCAGTAGTGGCACTGTTATATAGGGGCAATCAACAGCTGTCTAATTGGAATTAAAACCCTCTCAATGGGAGTGAACTCATGGATGGCACTGTAAACTCAGTCAAATACACATGACAAGAGAGGACACAGATCCTAGAAAAAAACCCTATCTGTTTCCTAGCTCTAGAAAAATGGATTTTCTTACCATATGCTAAATATGGATCCTTATATTTACAGACAAGTATACTGTACGCCACTCATCAAAGAAGCTTCTTTCTACAACAGATGGGCACTACTGCAGATTCCACTAGTGATCAGACACAGAGAATATACATCTGAGAGATGCCAAGTTCTAGGTGAGATATCTACAGCTCAACCTCTACGCCTAAGACTCATGGAACAGGACAGAACAAGGGGTAGCCTGAACACTAATGCATCTGTCAACTCTCAGCAGTAAACCTTCTTTATAACACAGTGTTATGAATAGAGAAGGCCACAACTGGCCAAGATTTAAAGAATAAGAGACTGCAGAGTATGTGTCGTTGAATGGGACTCCTATACTCAACCTCATCCCCCCATGACTCGGGGACTGTGGTGGAAGAGGGGACAGCAAATTTGGAAGAGTCAGGACTGGTTCATCAACACAGGGCTATTTTCAGGCCACTGGATCTGTGATATAGTGATATAATCTGAGATCTGGTATGGTGATCCCCCCAGAGTTGTTTTTTGCCCAACATAACTTTAACTCTCTGGGGTCTTTTGTGATTCCATATGAATTTTAGGTTGATTTTTTTTCCAACTTCTGTGAAGAATGTTGTGGGTATTTTGATTGGGATTGCATTAGTGCCTACATTAATAAACCAAAGAGAGCACATGTAAATGACTTAGTGCAAGACAAGATGCTAGAAAGGCAAGAACAAGCCAACCTATAAATTGCTTTTAGTAAAATTGTCATTTTACAGTATTGAGTCTACCAATCCTTGAGCATGATTGGTGTTTCCATCTCCTATGGTCTTCCTCTATCTCTTTTTAGAGATTAAATTTTTATTGTCTTTAGTTAGGTTTATTCCTAAATATGTTTTTTGAGGCTATTGAGAATACGAGGGTTTCCTTGAGGGATTTTTCTGAATGCTTGTTACTGTTATATAGAAAGGCTATGGATATTTGTTAAGTTGAATGTCCAACCTGCCAATTTACGAAAAGTATTAATCCTTCTATCTTGGTTAAACTTTCAGATAACCAGCACTTAGATTCAATAATTTTTTGTATTGTTTTGTTTCTATTTCATTAATTTCTGCACTGATATTTATTTCTTCTCATCTATTAGGTTTGGGGTTGGCTTGTTCTTGCCTTTCTAGAGTCCTGTCTTACACTAAGTCATTTACATGTGTTCTTTTTGGTTTATTAATGTAGGCACTAATAACTAATAATTAAGGTGTCCCAGAGGTTGTTCTTTGTGTGTGTGTGTGTGTGTTGTATTATCATTTTCATTTAGTTCTAGCAACACTTTTATTGCTTTCATAAATTTTTCTTTGATCCAGTCATCAGTCAGGCATGTGTTGTTTAATCTACATGAGTTCCTGTAGTTGTTAGAGATTCTTTTGCTGTTTATTATAAGCTTTATAACCCAGATCTTCAACTTTATCATACAGTCTTCATATTCTGTATTCCAGTTCTTTCTGCTTGTGAGGCTTTCTCCTGTTGTTTCTAATTGGTTTATTGAGTTATTCAATCCCATGTTCATTTCACTATTTCTATCTCTTTGCTGAATTCACTTTTCAAGTCATGAATTGTTTTTGAAATTTCATTAAGCCACATATTTATGTGTTCGTGGACTTCCATCACAGATTTCTTTCCTCTTTGAGTTATTTGAGTTGATTGTGTTTTAAGTTCTTTCATCATGTTAATGATTGTTCTTTTAAATTCTGTATCCTGAGTTTCCTCAGTGTGGTTCACATAGTAGTGCACTTCGGTGGGATTAGTGGGTTTTGTTGGGGACATATTCTCGATTTTTTGTATTTTTTGTGTTTTTGCATTGCTGTTTGGGCATGTGGATATTGTTTGTTAGTTGGGTCGAATAGGAAATTCAAATTTTCTTTTGTGTGATTTAATTTTGCTTCCTTTTATATTGTTTATGTAGCTTGGTTGTTTTTTGTTCAGGTTTGTAAAATACATTGGTGTGTATTCAAGGTTCTTTAAGGGTAGTAAACTGGCCAAAGTGGATGGTGGGAGAGTGTAGTAGGTAGGCTGGACAGGTTAGTAGGAGGCCTAGTATGTGTCAAACAGATCAGAAGTCAATGGAGTTTATCCTAGGGAGTTTAGTTAGTCTGGGTTAGGGAGCTAGTCCAAGGATCTGAGGCAGAGGAAGTGGAGATCGCCTGGGTACAGGCTGGCAGGGAATAGGGTGGCAGTGGGCAAGTGGAGTGGAATAGAGAGAAGTGGGTGGTGTAGACTTACCAGAGACCAGGATGGGCAGATCTATCCAGCTAATCGGAAGTCGGGGAAGATGGTGGAGTTGAGGGGACTGCCTGAGTAGATACTTAGCAATCTATGGTAAGGTGTTTAGCTAGTGTAGGTAAGGGATCTAGTGTAGGGATCTGACGCAGAGGAATTGGAGTCTGCCTGAGTCTGAGGCTGGCTGGGACAGGGTGGAATTGGGCTAGAAGAATGGAATCAAGATCCAGTGAGCATGCAGGATCTGACTTTCCAGATTCCTAGATGGACAGGTCTGTCCGACTGATCAGGAGCCAGGGAAGATGGAGGTGGATGGAATCACCTGAGGAGGGATTTAGCAATCTATGGTAGGTTGTTTAGTTAGTCTGAGTTAGGAATCTAGTCCAGGGATCTGAGGTGGAGGAAATGGAGTCTGCCTGGGTCCAGGACTGGCAGGAGATCACATAGGATATCTTCTAAAGAGACATCTATTCACATATTCTGAAAATTGTATTTTTCCTGATATTTGAGAAATAATATCAATGGGAGAATAAATGATAAACTTCAGGGGAAGTACTAGAGACATGCACTTTGTTGACAATGTATATTTTCAAAGTATATAGGAAGAAATTTCAAATTTGCTAACGGTAAACCTTTAAAATCTTTGTGTTGGTCAAAGTGTTTCATGACTTCTTAGTCCCCAAAACTCTTATTCACTCCTCAATAATTAAAACATAATTGATCTTACATATTTTCTTTGGCATTTCCAAATAATAATGTGACATAGACACTTAAGTTACAAAGTACTGTTCATACTGTGAATGGTGATTACACATGTCTGTATTCATGTACCTAAAGCCCAGGTATGGGTTAGACCACTCAATAATTGGCATAAGATGGCACAATAAAAAGTTAGGCATTGCTGATCTCATATTCCCTATGAGCTACAAAGTTAGGGTCCTTCTATTTGGATCTAGGTCTTTCTGAGTCACCAGAAACACTGCAGAGGTTCCTAACTGAAGCATAGAACACATGAGACTGGAAACAAATTAAAATATTCAGTCTACAATTTGAAAATTCTACTATGAACTTTAATATACTTGTGAAAACTATGCATCAGAAACCCCATTTCTAGTATAGAGCACAAATAAATTCTTGTGACTACCAAGAAAGAGAATGAAACCAGTGAAGAAATAGTTTTGGAAACAAACTCATTAGAATATTTAATGCAAAGGAAACAGTATATCTTATTTTTTTAAATAGGGAATACTTCAAGAATTGTGTGTCATTATTATACAGGAGCCATGCTAATCTTCTCTGTCATTGCAGTTTTAGTATATATGCTGCCAAAATGAGCACAGAAAAATTATATCTTAAGGGATGTTTTTGGAGAGTGGAGAATTGACACAGTATCTCAATCTGTATTACAGGTGGTCTGGAATTCACAACACAGACTAGTTTGTTCTCAAACTCTTATAAAACTTTCTGCCTCAGCTTTTATAGTCCTAGAATTTAGAGGGATGAACTATGGTAACCAGTTCTCAAGGGGTCTATATTGAGTACTTGGGGCAAAATCTTTTTTGTAAAGGAAGTTTCATGTGCCTTGCATCACATATATACTCATCCAAGACTACGTTATGCAACTCACCAAAAAATGGCTGCATTCATGTTCAAATTGACTATAACATGCAAAACTGGTCATACACGAACGTACAAAAACACTGTTCTTTGCTTCATTAATTTAAAAAAGTCACAGGATTGGGTTAGTGCTCAAATTCTGTATTTCTCATTCCCTTATACATATTTCTTGTTATACTATTACCAAATCACTAAGATATTTCCTCTAAGATGCTGCTGTCTTCATTGATGCACTCAGTTCTGAGGAACTAGGATGCAGAAAAGCAAAGTCTTCTACCAGCTTCTCTCATTTAGCTCATAGTCCACTACGCAGGTGTTGCTATGTGTTCCATAGCAATAGTATATGTGCATTACTCAGTATCTTTTTAAAATTATTTATTTATTTACTAACAGCATACTTAGAAGAAGCACTTCATTACATCAAAATTGACATATTCAATAACAATTTTCTGAGCTAGCATGCATCTCTTACAAAATTGGTTGTACATTTTTAGGTTTATAGTTGAATTCTTACAGTAATACAATACTGTACTCAGTATAAACCCTATAAGACATAAAATTACATGAGGTTTTAACCTTTAAAAAAGATCTCCATTTCACCATTAAAATACAGAGTTTCATACAGAAAACTTCATTTTTAATGCAATTGACATTAAGATGTTTGCACATGCTTTTCTAATCTCTATATATCAGATTATTACTAGTCACTTTCTGAGCTCCTTGGAATTTGATCATGGATATAAAGTCATTAGGTAGATTTAAATGATCATGGTTTTCACATCTACTAGTTATTAAGGAGCAAATTTTTATGCTTTGAAGAATTATTATTTTTTAATCATTATACTTTTTCAGTTTTTAATAACCACATGATCAGAAGTTTTTCACTGCAGCTTTAACATATTCAGCAACACACTCCAGAGCAAGAGTACATCTCCTTCACAAGTGGGTACAAGTCTTCAGGTTCACAGTTGAATTAATATAGTTATATATTATTGAACTCAATATAAGCTCATCCACACCACTAACATTGAGATGTTGGTGCCCGCATCTCCAATCTGTATGCAACTGACTATCACTAGTCATAATCAGCTGCACTTGAATCCCTGGCACCTGTTTATGTCCACAAAGTCATTGAGCAGATTTCAATGGTATTGTTTATCACCTCTACTAATTAGTATGACATAAATTTCCATACTTTCTCCTCAAATATAATACACTTTTTAAAAATTTTGTTTTTTTGTGTGTATATCACACAGAACATCCCAAACCATCTCATTCAACTATAAACCAACTTCCCAGATAGCACCCTCCCATAGCCTCCTTCCTCCCACTAGAGCCCTTATACTCTGATATACCTGTTACTGTCTGTTGTGTTGTTGGCACCCCCAACCATTCCCTACGACTTACCCTTCGGATGAACCTAGTCAGCCTATCTAGAGGTCTTTTTTTAGGGGGCTAAACTGTTCCTCATCTAGCAGTAATCAGTTGTCAATATTCCTTTAGATAAGATTGGGGTCTGCTGTTCATTTTCCCAGTTCTATGCTGGGTTACTGTCTGGGAGTCCCTTTGGCCACCCTGGCCAACAACTCAAAAAAGGAATTGCCTGTCTGGCATTGTTGCTTGTTATGTAGACTTTAGCTATGCATATGGCCTCTTAAGAAATTATATTGGCCCCTTTAATCTTTGGTTGTACTTTCCTTTTGGGTGTTTAAGACCATATAGTGGGCCCAGACAAACCAATTTATTTTTACTCTTAAGGTCGTTTGAGGATCTGTTCCTCAGGGGTTACATGGGCTTGGGAGGAGCCCCTGGCTCCTTTCTTTTACCAGTTCTGCCTATGTGAAGATAAGTCAAAGGTACTACTCGACCATGGTTGGCTTCGCTTGGAAGCGTGGAGGAAATTATTCCTCTGTGTTGACCCTCCTCTTTGTAGGCTGGACACTGGTTATATGGTATCATCTCCACAGCCTCCTTGATCAAGAGGACAGGTGACCCACCACATTTCCAGGACATTTTGAGAGATGCTTAGAGTCGCCTGGAACTAGTTGACCTAGGAGGGCAAGGAGCAAAAAGTGTCCTTTATGTCCTTCTGGCCAAATTATTATAGGCCTCAAAGTATGTCTGTTAAACATCCAAGAAGGTTAGTTCCACCAGTCTGGTACTTTGAATTAGTGTGTGTCATGTAGATAAATCTTGACCAAAGACCAGTTGTTCTCAGATAAACTTTACCTAGACATATATTTCTTGATCTGCTATGTATAATTTGTCAGTAGGTTGTAGAAGTAATATGGTTCCCTCTGCTTTTCAAAACTAGCTAGGCATTGTTTATCTCTCACATTGTCTCACCCCTCCATCATGGTTTTCCCACTTAAGGTGCTTCCATTTCCTCTCTTTCTCCCTTAATAATGCCCTTCTCCTATGGTCCCACCTCTCTTGAGCTCCTTCTTTCCCTTTATGCCTTAGGCTCCTTGTATACCCTTCCCTCCCCCCTCCCTTAAACTAACCCAATTTTTATCCATATCTCCCTCTCCCTTATTAAGGCCTCTTTCCTACTGTTCTTCTCTTTCAGGTTCTTTCTTTTCCTTTACCTCCCTGTTTCCTTTCCATTATCCTGGTTCCTGTGATTATGTCTGGTCACATACTCATTTATGAGGGTCTGGTTCTAGGATCCACATATGCGGGAGAACATATGTTGATTTTTTTTTCTGACTCTGTGCTACTTCACTTAGTATAACAGTTTCTGTTTCCATCCATTTACCTGCAAATTTCATGATTTCATCTTTCTTTACTGCAGAGTAAAACTCCATCGTATAAATGAACCACATTTTCATTATCCACTCATCAATTGAGGGACACTTAGGTTACTTACATCTCTTAGCTACTGTGAAAAGAACAGCAACAAATATGGGTGTACAAGTGTCTCTGCAATAGGATGAGTTCATTGGGTATATGCCAAGGAGTGGTAAAACTGGGTCAAATGGTAGGTTCATTTGTAGTTTTTTAATAGTTCTCTACACTGCTTTCCATAGGGGTTGAATCATTTTGCAGCCCCACCAGCAGTGGATGAGTGTTCACCTTTCCCCACATCCTCTCCAACATTTGGTATCATTTGTTCTCTCAATCTTAGCCAGTCTGACTAGGATAAGATGGAATCTTAAAGTGGTTTTAATTTGCATTTCCCTAATTATTAGTGATGTTCAAAATCTTTTAAGGTGTTTCATAGTCATCTTTACTTCTTCTTTTGAGAACTCTCTGTTTGGCTCCTTAGCCCATCTTTTAAATGGGTTGCTTTTTGTCTTGGTTATGTTTTTTTAGTTTGTTTTGTATTCTGGTTATTAAACCTCTGTCAGATGTGTTGCTGGTGAAGATTTTCTCCCATTCTGTGGGTTTTCTGTTTGGTTCCTTGGTTCCCTCCTTTGATGTACAGAAGCTTTTTAGTTTAATGAGATCCCATTTGTTAATTCTTGCCCATTTCCCGAACAATTGATGTCCTGTTTGGAAAATCCTTTCCTACACCTATATCTTGTAGTTTTTCCCAATGATTTCTTCTAGTAGTTTCTTATAATGTACTGATGGAAAAGAATGGAAACTGAATGTCTTTGCTGAATAACCCTGAACGTTCAACTCTAAATAAATATGCCTTGCATATTTCTCGTCTAGAGATTCCTCACCTCACACAGGTGCTACTGTTGAATCCCCAGAGAGCCCACAGACTGTTTGGAGTAGATTATCCCTATCCAAGCAACATCAGCTCTCCATCTCCATGCTGTGATTTCTGTTGGTCACCATACCAGATAAGACTAGGAATGGGATAAATGATTCCCTGAGTTTTCTTCTCATGGAAGTTTTCAGAGCATTATCAGAATAATTCATTCTGGTAACTATGTGCCTAAGAGAATCTGATTCTAGAGAAAACTGATTCTGTACCTAAAATCTTAAAATTCTAATCTCTACAGAGTCATATATGCTAAATAGATTGGATATTTTATTTACTTTTGCACTATTATAAATATGCATATCTGCAAATGGGCAATGACTTAATCTAGTTTCTAGTTACCCTGGCCATCTATATTTTGGAGAGAATCACTGTCATTTGTAAAATTAATCCCAATGATGAACTGAGTGTTATTCTAACAACATACCACATCAC